GCAACCGATGAACTTTCCTGTGCCTTCTCGTTTACGCCGCAAAACCATGTCCATTCCACAGAGAGGGCACTTGAGCACAGTCTGACCGACAGTTTGTTCTTCAGCCTGAACTGGTGGAGGTACTTGGGCTGTTTCTTGCAAATAATGACCTAAGGCCTCATCAATTTTCTCTGCCTGCTCAAACATGTATCAGGAAGTTTATGAGTACTTTCATACAAGTAAAACAAGACAGTATGGAGTACAGAGTATATGTAAATGTGTTCTTTGTAATTCTGCATCCCTCACTGGTGTTTACATTTATGTTACAGATACAAATATTATTTTTTATGAAGTTTACTAACAGTACTGCAATAGCTTAAACAGGGTTTTCTTTGAGGAGATGATTTGTTTTAAAATGCAAATTATCACAGACATTTTAAAACAAATTCATCTAGGCCATTATATATGTTTATATTTTCAGCACAAAAATCTTTCCTTCACAGTGTTTTGTTAGGAAATAAAATATTTTCATGTTGCTTGAGATAATTCTCAAGACTTTGAAAGCCCCTTCTCCACTCCTCTCTGTTTTCAGTATTACTGCTATACTGCATAGCTATGAATTGTTGCCTTGTACAAAAATTGCATTTAAATGGCTATGTCAACCATAGACATACACAAAGAAATTCAGTACTACACTTCAAATTTTGGGTTTCAAACATCTTTTATAAGGGGTCTGGTAATCTAGAGGTAATAAACTGGGTTCCCACTCAGAAACAGGCTTTATTCCTGGTCAGACATAATGTAGACTTTTCTACACACAGACCAGTCTTCACTTTTACCGAAGCTAAGACTTTCAGAACACGGGAATACCAGGCAGTTACCATGTTTTAGAGTCAACACCATGCCACAGATTCATTCTGCTAGCCACCTTTGTCACTAACATTCCATTACTGAGAGCAGCTAAACCTGTCCCTTGGATGCTCCTACCACATCCTGCCAAGCAGTTAGTAAGCAAGTTCAATAAGAACATTCAAGGAGGCATTACCCTCAACACCACAACCTTTTACCTGCTGCAAAGCTATTCGGAATACTTCTTTGTATTTGGTAAGATGCTCTGCAAGAACAACGTTTGGATCCTTTATTCCATCACAGATCCTCTTGAGATCAGCTTCAAACTCAGCACGCAGATTTGGTTTAGACATGGGGAATCCCATGCTATCATAGCCCTCAACCAAACCCATCCCCAGCTGACCAGGTACAAAATGAGAGCCATTTTGCAACCCAACGTACATCCGACTTTTAATAGTTTCGATATGTTCAGCGTGAGTCGCATCCGTTCCTGCCAATTACAATTCCACATTATACCATCATCATCTTTGCAGAACCCAAGTGTACAACTTAACACAAAAGACACAATAATTATCAGCAAACTTAATTTTCTATTGAAATTTAAGTACAAGCTCTGAGTCATTCTTGTCAAAGCAAATTAAGAAAATAGGCTAATAAAATAGGAATGCATACAACACACCTCTTCAACCAAGAATAATAAAAAAACATAAAAGAAATTACTATGTATGACAATAAAAAGTTGTAAAAATATATACATGATACTAAGTTTCAACCTTTCAGGTTACTATATGTATGTTCAAGAATGACATATCTGTAATAAAACAGCAAGGTTTAATTTAATGTACCATAAAATGGATATTAAAGAATGAAACTCATCGAGATATACAAACATATTCTACATGCAAATGCCAGTCTCCATTGCCCTGCATGTCAATGAAATGTGGCAATAATAGAAAAGGACATAAAAAAGAATCAAAATTTCTGTTATGTTCCTAAGACATGTTAATGAAGTGACATTACTAAATAGACAACACAATTAAAATACGTACAAGAAACAGAATAAGTGTTTTTAGATATGAGAACAGAGACCATAATGAACAATTCCATTATCCACTCAAGAGACATATCAACTTTAAATTAAAACAGGTGAAAGGATCCAAAATTTGATGTTGCTGTTGTTGACATTTTAGAATTGAGACAGGGCCTTCTGGACTGCCTGTTTCAAAACATGCAAAATAGTTAAACCAAAATACCATATCATACTCATGTGTCATTTTATTTTTATTATTATGATATGAACAAGCAACTTTTTACCGAGTTCCTACAAACTTTACCAATTCCATGTTTCTCCATTAGAGCAATGAGGTCTGCTTCAGTCAGTAAGTGTGGTGGACTGGTCTCTCCATCTGTCATCTGAATGCTTGTTGGCTCAAATGTTTGTCCAGACTGATATACATGAATCTCCTTGGCACTCCACTTTTCATATGGATATACATCCAAATAGTTGCGAGCAATAATCATCAAACCATTTGCTACAAACTGTGAAAGAAAAGTAATGTTGATTTACATACAGCAAAATGTTTATCAAGGCATCCTGCATTGCAACATAATGAAATAAAATTAACAGTAAATGTCGTCTGTCTACGTAGACTACGTGCTATGTAGACCATTTTCAGGTGGTATAAAGAGGCTTTGTAGATGGACATTTATTATTAATATTTTATTATGTTCAGTACAGAAACTGGCTATGGACTGGATGACCGGGGTTTGGGAGCTATACCCTTTTTGTACACAACCCTTCAATTTCTTATCATTACAAAGTATTTAGGTATGCAGAGAGTTTTAAAATCAGACAGTATGCAACTTTATATGATTTAGTTAAGCAGAGCTTCAAAAAATGAAGACGTGTGCCAACTGCCACTGACCACTATAAACGAAAATCATTCAATTTAATTTTTTTTTGTGAAATTAAGTAATGACACCTGGACCTGAATTTATGTCTGAACTGGGTAATTTGGAGTGCAAACGTCTCAGTTCTGGGTATTTATATTATGGCATGTTAAATTTACAGACTTCAAAAAAAACACACTGGCAGCACCTAACAAAACTGTAGAGGAAATTACATTCAGGCCGTATTAGTCACACAGGCTAGGTGTGTTTAAGAATTTACTTTAATATTTCTAAAATCAAAGCTAAAGCATCCAATGAGATAAATGTCTACTTAAAAAAGTTAAGGGTTTTTCATATCATCCTTTCAAGGAGATTATTACATAAGATGTCACCTTTTCACCAGCGATATCTATATCAACTACTGTTTCCAATCCTTCAGCGTCTTTGGAACAGCACGCAAGAAAGTGCCGTACCACAAACTCATAAACTCGTTTTTCATCCCCTGAAACATACAATATGCAGTATTTATGTAGAACATAACCTATATATACATATATATATATATATATATACACACACACACACAAAACTCCCATCACCACCACAACCTAACCAACTAACTAGAAGCCAGTCACGCTTCATGGATTTTCAAACTGTAACAAAACAATGGTAAACCCAGCCTTAACTCTTCAACTCTTTACCACCTGACAACCCTGAATGAGGTTTCTTTCACATTTTTATCATTTAAATAAAACGTATGCTTCGTAACACACCATTAGAGTCATCATAATCACTACTGCCACCACACAATTTCAAACTGAAAACACAATGTCACAGACTTCTTCAGTGGTTAGATTCTTTATTTTTGCACTGCAATGTTTACACCAAGGAGGCAAATACTGATTCATGGAAATTTCTGAGACTGTACAATCTTCAACTACAGACAGCAGGACACAAATAAGATCCTTAAATCACAGCCAAAGCAAAGGTTAAAAGTGAAACATACATGCAGACTCTATTCATTTCAGTTTTAATTACCTTGTAAAGCTGCAGTGTGTTTTGTAGGGTGAATGGGTGGATGAGCTTGGTCAGACTTCTTGCCTGCACGAGGGTTTGGACCATCCTGCAGAATACGATTTGCAAATTCTGTGGAAAAATCAATAAAAGTAAAATAAAAATGTAAGATGTACAAAACCTTAACATACCTTTGTATTTAACAGAAAATAAAAGTGATTTGTTCAGAACTAAAAAAAAAATCATATGTTGGTAAAAATCACGATAAAAGAAAAATGCAATTTTCAGCATCAACAACACAGGAAAGTAATTTGAAAACCATAGTAATACATCAGTTTAGTTTTATGCAATCATCTACCATATCTATGAATTTTTCATCAGAAATGTTCATATTTATTAATCTTTATCAAACACAATTTAAATAACCAGGCCCTTTCAGTCTGGACTTAATTCCAGGCATTCAAATAAGATGCATCCCTATGAAAAATCATATACGGGCCTGCCTTTTAAATCACAGACCATAAAATTAAGAAATAAAACGTGTACTCATGCAAACAAAACAGAGTTAGCATAAAAACTGTTTCCTTTCTAAAAGCCATATATCCATTCAAGGAAGTGTTACGATTTCCTTTTTAAAATTATATACAATCCTGGATATCATATTAATTCAGTAATTCTCTAAGTAATTTATTAGGTGTTATGTGAAACAAACTAAAAAACGACAGGCAATATTTAGTAAGCACTATGCATCATACTTTTTAGTAAGAACTGCCACCTTTTTGTAAAGAGGAGATAAGTATTAACACATAATTTAGGAAAAGAAAGATAATCTTGCAAACAGCACAAAACCAACTTGTGCACTGCATCGAGCTCATGTGAATGGGCTGGACAACCCTGGACAATATAAACATTTTCCTGGCACAAATCTACTTCATCAAGGATATATTTAATAAATAAGGCAAACAAATATTCTGATTAAAAAAATCACCTCCCCAGTCAGGATCCTGTGCCTGCATCTCAATCAGATTACGTAGATTCAACTCCTTTGGGAATATGTTAGTTTCTGTTCGAGGATAACTGATGAAGCCTTGAGTATATAATTTTTCTGCAATCTTCATTATTTCTTTAGCATTCACTTTCAGTTTCCTGGATCCAAGTTTCTCCATTTCCTAAAAAATGTAAACATAAATGGAAAAGTGATGTAAGCACATCTAGGATGTTTCTGGTAAGTCATCTTATTATTACGATGCATATTTTTATGAAACTTTTCTGTACTCCTATCTTATGTTACCATGCACATTTTATGTTTCATGAAGGAACAGGCAAATCAGTCAAATTCTGATGAGTTCAAACAGCAGTTGTGGGAACCAGACTCCCATAAGGCTTTGTCCAGTGATCCACAGTGCCTTTTTTCTTTTTAGGAAGATGCCCTCTAAATTTGGTGAGGTGCTGCTGTACAGCTTTTGTAAAATCTTGTAGTCCACTGAATAATGAAAAATTCTATGCCTTCTCAAAACATATTTATGGCATGTGATATGTGCTTAATATAAAAAAATACAAACTCCGCATTTCAAAAACTTTTTTAGTAATACAAGTTTTGAAGAGCAGTGACAGGCAGATGATTTTCCAAATGCTATTTTTATGTCACAATTTAAACACACATATTAAAGTTAAAAAACACAATCATAATAATTATAATATTGCACTGTAGTATTTGATAAAGAGTTGTATCTGATAGCATTATATTATGCTACTTGGTGATATGAAAACTTAAAGAACATAAGTACATAGATACTTGATCTTGAAGAAAGAACAAATAATTTGTTTTATATCATAACTAAAAAGCCCAAGTTCAGAAGTGTTTTTCTTCTATGGCACTCCTTCAGTTGCATATTTTATGTCAGTAATTCAGAAGAGTTATTTACATCTTAACTGTTTCTTAAACTCACCACTGTATCGAGAGGAAGAGGTCTCCACTTGCTCTTAGGTTTACTTTGGACATTTTCTACTTTGGCTAAAGGTTGCTCCATACATTTCTCATACAAAACTTGACAACTCAGCTGATCAAACAAGTGAACTCGTTTCCATCGAAAATCCACAGACAGATCATTTATTGTATGTATCACTACAAGAAACATGAAACTCAGACATAAAATAGTGTCACCATAGTCTGAGAGCAGTCAGTGCTCACAGAAAACTTGAAAAAAGAATTTCACAGTGAATTTTGGACACAATATGTTCATCCTCAGGTAAAGATAACTATTTAACTATGAATGTTACAAAAACATACAAATTATGCACATAACACAGAAAGAATCGAAAGATTGAGTGTATTTTCACAAAGGACGTTTTTATAATGGTAAAGAAACTTACTTATTTCTAAATGGTAAAATACGTCAGGTCAGTAATAGTTTGCACATCATGCCAGAACCAAGTTTTATGAAACAAAAATCTTATCCAATATGAAAATCTTTAGTCGTGTTACAGGCAACAGCTTTTCATGCTTCCATGTCTAACACAACATTCCTAAAAAATTAATTAGTCTGAGATTTGAGGTTGGCACAGTGGCGAAGAGGTTGACTGTGATGCCATGTAGTCTTGTGGGTAGTTACCAACACTTAACAGAAATGCAACTTCTACCCTGAATATGGAGGCAATATGTTCCTCTGAAACACAGGTAACAACCTACAAGACTACATGGCGTCAAAATCCAGAACAGAATCAACAAATTCATTCAGGTCCTAGTTATCAGTACCAGGAAAAAAGTACAGAAATATAAAATAAGCCATTTGTGAGTAAAACCCATCCCTCAGAACCATTAAAACCTAAATAAAACCAAGAAAAACTTAAATTATAACAGTTTACCTGTAATGGGTTAAAATACTAACCTCCGGAGATCCAACATGAAACACAAGACTACCCAGCCTAAACTTACCTTTTATTTTCCAGAACTGTTCAGGAATGAAGTTATTTACTGCATTAAAACGTTCTACAACGAAGCCCAATGTCGGGAACTGGCAGCTGCCATAGCTAATGAGTGCATCGCTCAGCTTCTGTGGGAACACCTTCTGCAGTCTTAGAGTCTGAAACCTTGTAAAGGCTGCACCTGAGAAAATAAATAATTACACCAACATAAGAAACCATGCCAACAGCAAGTGAATGACACTTCTACAGTTGAAGACAAATCTATTTTTAAAGAAACAATGATAGGTTCATAGTCCATATATGACCCACAGGGACACCCACTCTATTTATATTACAGTGGAGAAACTTTTAAAACCATTACACCATGTTAAACATTATAAACATAACAGGAAAGGGATAATGGATAACAGCGCATTACTATATACACGTTCCTGGGATGAGTAACGTAATCTTACCTGTCCTCAGATCCAGTTCCTGTCTCACATCAACAGCAATACTGATGTTCCTGTTTGGCTCAGCAAGTGTTTGCAGTGCTCGTTGTACTGACTGTGCTGTGATCTCTGAAAACTTTGCTCTAAAATTATATAAAGAACATAATGATACAAACATCACTCTCAGAAATCCCAAGTATCACAGCTGCACAACTTAAAAACATAGATATCAGTGTTTATATGACTACTGAAATTAATGTAACAGGTACACCTTTAGAACCATAAGAGAATTTATATAAAACTACCATTCAATTCATAAACATTAATGCTGAGTCATGACACTCAGTGCTAAGAAACTGCATGACCTTTTTTCCCCAGTTCTTAAAAAAAAAAAATGCTGTAAAATCTCTGAACACCAAACTACAGGTCTTACAATTTTAAATTTTGCTTTTCGTGACAACTAATCAAACCAAAAACTACGAAGACTTCTGGCTGACTGCAGATTCCACAAAGGATAAGATCATCAGTGATGACAAACTTTCTCACAGCCTTATGCAAAATTTACTTAGTACAGTGATAAGAACTCTTTTCAGCTGGCCTAACTGTCCCAGTACCACCCTGCATGACATGATGAGATATCTGTCATTTTGATTCATGTGTTGTATGCAATAATTTATTTGCATGTGATACAGTTTCTTCAACTGATTTTGTTTAATCAATTAAAGTTATTAGTAATGAGCATAATCAAAAAGAAAATACAATGTTGTGATTTCTGCAGCTATGTTTCTCCTGACAGCCATACTTCATGTTATTTTAAATGAAAATATGAAGTAATAGCAAAAGACACACCTTAAACTAATAATCATCGCTCGCTTACTGAACTATAATATGGCTACATACGACTATATAAATAAAACTTATAATAACCAGTGTCAGCTAAGATCTCAATTACTTTCCTGAGGAGTGCATAATAGCTTACCTATAGACTCTAAGATTTTGCTTGACTGCAAGACAAACCTGGATTACTTCAAATCCAATATTTTCACCTTCTCTGTCGCAATCAGTCCAAATTATGAGTGATCCACACTGTCGAACTTCCCGTTCTAGTGTGCGCTTAAATCAGAAATAAAAGTCAATATATTTATATCAATTGATTTTCCTCTGACATGTTTCTTACTGAATATTGTAATCTGAGACTTCAAATATTGGTACATTATAGAATATACATTTCTCTAGCAAGCCAAAATAGAAGTACATATGTAAAGCAAACTATTTAGCACAGCTTCATCTGTTTCCAGTGTAATTACCTCACATACTGCTTCCTACCTTCATGTGATTAAAATGAATCAAAGTACAAAGGCACATATTCCACTTAAGTTACTGGTATTGAAACAAACAATCAAGAACCGTCCATAAAAATCTTCAAAAGAGAAAATATTTAACGCTTGTTCTATTGCTTGTATGATTTGCATTTGTTTTATGACAACTATAAACCAGCAAGACTTTCTCTGTTTTGGAAATTACAGTGGAAATTTTAAAAACTGTTTCAGTAAACAACCACAGAGCAGATTTTATACTCTATCAATTATATTTATCATTTTAAAATTAAATCTGTACATCATTAACACTGTGCAAAAATATATGTTTAACAGTGAAATGAACATTCAATAGATTTAGATTATTAACCCATTAAGTCAAGACCAATATACTGACAGTGCACAAAGTGCCAATGTTGATTAAACTGATTTTTGACATCAAATGTACAGGAGTGTTATGTACAATGACCCTTGGTGGTAGAGGTGAAAAACTACAAACAATTATACAACAAAATAGTTCCATGGTACCATATTTTATTTGAAAAGATAATAGGTGCTTAGTTAGTCAAGCTATTTCCTGCTTAATCTTAACACTTGAAAATAAAAAGAACTGATTATGCCATACATGCATATTTTGGAGATTGACAACAAACAAAAAAAAAGTCAAATGTTATAAAATAAGAAGATAGTTCCAACCATGTAAATATTACAGCAAATAAAGATAAATATGTCTGTAAACTATTATTTAAAAATGTATCTCCTATTAATCTGCAGGGATGTGTTACCTACCACATTTACACATCCATAAATCAAAGACACATGACATTTGAAGCACTGTTTCCTAGAAGTAATAACATTAAGTAAAGCTTAAATAAATATTTATACACCACAAAAAGTACCTTGATCTGCTGGTAATCTTGCGGGCAATGCTTGCTTACTGGAGCATCAAACAGAGCCATAGGGTTACATGCTTGCCAGTTTCTATAACTTCCAACAAATTCTAATCCTAGCAGATGTCCAGAAACAGATGTCATGATCATCTGACATCTCTGGTTGAAGACATTACATTCAAATTCATATATTTTATTAAACTTGGACAGTCCTTCCCGCTGTAAAAAAGGAGGAATGTAATTATGATTTTAAAGTTATTAAAATACAGTACTTGAATCCTAACCACCAAACAAACAATTTTACAGTTAGTTGGGTGTGCACTGCATGCTGAAACTAGAAAGCAAAATTTTGCAAGACAACCACCTGAAAGGATGAGATGGTGATAAAATAGGACTTCAAGCTTCAGGAGGGATAGAGAGTCTCTCTTTTCTGCCAACACTTTTATACATTACCCAAACCTGCTTATATTGTACGTTTATAAGCACATCAGTTACACTGGCTATTAGCGTCTTTTTAAAATAGTAGTAATAGTAGTACCAGAGCCAGGTTATGTAATTGACATGAGTATCATAACAGAAAAGTTGTTATGAATCAGAAATGTTATAAGATTGTGACAGTGGTGGCAGAGTCCCTACTCCACCACAGTACATTTAGTTCATACTTACGCGCCTAATATTTCCACCAGAGAGATAACCTGCCAGATTCTTGGCAGCATCGTTCTTTTCTGCTACATTTAATATCTTCATTCCAACAAGTTGTTTAACAGAATCTACTTTATTACATAAAATAGGTCCACTGTTCATATGAAATTGTCTCCATCCTGTAGGCGTATGGTAAATACCTCTTAATAATCTCAATGTACACATTAACCTCAATATGAGTTAAAACCAAGTTTAGAAGCACCAAATTCGGTGTTATTACGGCATGTTCTAAAATAATTTGATATAACATAACTCCACGTAAACGATTTACCTACACACAAATAAAACATTCAACCCATAAGTGACGAACATCGAGCATCTTATCAAATATGAACATTTCGCGCGCCAGAACTATCACGAAAACTCCATTACAGTTGCACATATATCGACGAGAATTGACAACTACAATCACACTGATTTTATTCACGGGGGCGAACTCAAATAATTGTGTAATTGAAACATATATTACTCAGAATAAAATTCACTTGACAGCGGTAAAACTGGACTTCGAAGGGAGAAAAATGTCAGCTGTACAGGCTCTCAGATTACCAACTTCTGCCTTATAACCACGTTTACCGCGAAGTTTAAATTAGCAAGGAACTACTCCCTGCCTCGCACACATGGCAAAATCCTCATAGTAACATGGCAGCGCATTCAATCATAGACATGGATAGCTAGTTGGTGCACTACTTATATCCTCAAGTTACCTATTTAATTAAAATATTAAAATGTCCCAAATTTGTTATGAGACTTCTGAAAAAACACATTGTAAAATAATTAAACTATTAGCTTTCTAACCCTGCTACTTTTCATAGCTACTTAAGTAGCTCACACTGCCCAAAACCATGCTAATACTTAAAGAAATCAGAAAGTCCTTGATCTAGTTGTGATACTAACAAATTTCTGGAAAAATATTGTGATTATCATTGCAGTAGGCTGCCAGTTTAACAATGCAAAGGTCTGGGTTCATGCCCAGGTAAGTCCAAGTGGGATACGTGGTGGACAAAATGGCACTAGAACAGATTTCTCTGACAGTCCTTCAGTTTTCCCATTAGTATCATTCTACTGCTCCGTATTCATTCATGTATCATCTGGAGAATGGACAAAGAACTCAATACATGCCCAGATCCACAGAGACTAAGCTTCACCCCCATTGCAAGAATAATAACGTATCACATGCATTCAATGGCATTGCTGCATAAACACTGGATCAATTTAACAGATTCAATTTTCTGGACCTTTATGTTGAAAAGTGCATAATTATGTCTCTCGTAGTTTTACTTTCCAAACTGGAAAAATGACATTAAATTACATTCAGTTTATCATCTATTTTATACATAAAACCAGCTTGGGTTATGGTTAATATACAGTTAAGGTCCAAATAACATGTCTGTATGTTTAAAAAGGGTTGGAGCAAGTTCCTGTACACAAATAAAAATTATTTGAAAATTATGAAAAATGTGTCCTCAAATTGACCTCCAGTTTTCACATGTAATAGGTAACCAGAATCAAAATGAACTTTAATTTGAACCACTAAACCATAATTTTAAACAAAATACACATATAGAGGCAGAAACTTTATTTCGTTACATGATAAAAACTACATACAAGATCTTACAGCTCATAATTTTCATGCTCTTGGCTTCATTCAAGGAATGTCTATTTTCAAGTTCATGTTGCCAATTGTCAAACTACACAATACATCAATATTCAGAATAATAACTAATATAGCTGTTTACTTGTAAAAATCCACTTTACTAGGAAGTACCTTCTCATATCTCATTAATTATATTTCAATAATACATTTTAGTTCATACATTATTCATTTTGGCAATAAATTATAATGGACTTCCATATACAAAAGTCTGCCATCTGATGTTCAATCATCTGCAAAATTAGCACAGAGTGTGACAAGACAAGTAAGAAATGAAAGACTCCAGTTTAGGTGAAAGACTTCCATAAATGACAGTTGGTCCAATATGGTTCCTTCAGGATTCCACATTATTGCAGTCTTCAAGTATACTTCTCTTCCAATCCTCATAACTTTGTAAATTGGAGGTAGCAGACAGTGTACTCCTTGAAGATGGCATCTTTGAGTCTAATGGGAGAAAAAAGTTCTTACATTACTGTATAAACTACTATACTGATTCTCCTTCATGCAACATCACAATAAAAGCAAACACATAAGAAAGGGTCAATAGTTTGGATATGTGATTACAAAACATAGGAGTCATAAAAGAACTGAAATGCTACCCTAAAAACGCATCAGTTTTTTGTTTCCAAGTTTACTGAACTGCAGTAAAGTAAAGTAAAGTAAAGTTTGTCCCACTATACGCCATGTAGGCGTTTGGGGTGAGTGGAGGTATAGCTCCTCTCTTCCTTGACCTCGGCACTAGATGGGGGTGAGTGGTCAGCATCACGCCCCGGCCGGCTTTACCCCCGGGAAAGGACCCCGGTACCCATTGTAGAGGAGGCTGGGTGGGCCCCAGAGCCGGTCTGGACGCAGAGGCTAGAGGAAAATGAATAGAAGTAGTCATCATTTATCCCTGTGAACTCATTATTACAAATGAAGCCCAATTAAAAAACTAAATAACTTAAGCATTTCAGACATATTGAAAGTAAGTTACACAACAATGCTTTGTTTACCAAGCCTTACTTGAAAATCGAGGTGCATCACGTGAAGGTGAGACTGGTAGACAGTGATATATTCTTCTGCTTGCAGACATGGTTTCTTCAAGAACTGTTCTTTAGGTTAGCCTACAGCAACAATGTCACATACCCTTTGTTAAGATTTCCATCTTCTTCAGCAGACTTGCTGGCTTATATTCATCTACTTCAACACTGCATGATGAAAACTTTGGGTTGGGATTAAGTTGTTTTGCATATTTCTCAAAAGTGCTTGCAAGTTTCAGGAACGCAGATTTCTGGATATGGCTCATATCTATTAGCTTTACACGGTCCACTTTCAGCTTGCAGTGCCTACATATAAAACCAATACATTACGTGAAGGATGTACTTACAACTGGTTAAGCAGACAAGAAGTACTTTTTGCTTCTCCTAATAAACTATATTTTTGCAGATTTGAAATTTCACCTCTGTTCTGACAATAACACAACACAATTTTTCCACTTCACTAAATAAATAATAACAAATAAAATACATCATTTACTGTATTTGCTGACTACCGGTCATGACTTTAACTTTCATTCAAGAAACCAATACACAAATGAAAATCAATTATTTACAGGCAGATATAAAATCTGGCAACTGTGGCATCCTTAAAAGCCATGAGTCCATAAAATATCATACTGACATTAAAATATTTTAAGAATAGTAACTGTTTAATTTTTTGACGACGCAGAATCATACTTTGTGGTAGTTACTAAGAACTGATTTAAAGTATGGTATATAGTCTTAGTGCTAATATTAAACTCTTCTTTGTAATTCATGTCATCAATTTTAAAAGCTCTTTGCTTTAGCATATTTTCCTTCCTTAACAGAAATGATAACTCACAAATCAATAATTAAATCATACTTGCAAGCTGTGATGACTGCTGCAACATTATACATGGGATGATTGAGATCTTCCACCATCCCACGAGCATCTTCACTTACATATCTGCAAATCAAGATGCATTATAAACACCATTACCATACTTAACCCTTAATTACTGTTGAAGTTAAATCTGGAAAACCTCATATGGATTTATGTGAATGTTAATAATAAACTAAACCACGTGACTGAAGGTATAACATAATCGATTAATAGTTAAAAATTCTTCTGGGTTATTGCTCCATGCAGTCTGGTAGAAGTTTACAATATCCTATGATGGAGGCATCAAATAACTCTGAATCAACAAACTTCTAAATGACTACAGAGCACAACCCAGAAGATACCCATCTTCATACTTGCCACTGTGATAACCTCAAAACTTAAAGTTGGAAGTAATTCAGCTGTTTAAGAAATTCCCAATTATAAAATGTGAAGGTTAATAACCATCATGACTGGACCCGTGGATTCTATTAGAAATAATACCTCCATCCACTTACTTTTCCAATAGCTTCTGTGCCAATGGCATTGCCTCACTAACACCAAACTGAAGACACAGATCCTTGATGGTAATGCATTTACCTATACCTAATAACTTTTCGACTGTGTGACGAAAAGACGTGTAAATTTTTTTAGTAACACCTGCCAGCCTTATGGCATCAAGCTGTAACAAAAATGAAAGTATTTCACAGAGAAATATGCATATGAAAATATAAATGGATCAGATGAAAAGGGATAGAAACTTACTAAAAATGCAGATGAAAGAGTTTCTATCAATGTTTTTATATTTTGGTAAACACAGAAATCTTGGTACCAATGTAACCGTGTGCTTAATTACGTTGTATTTTGCGTATACAATTGTTATTGCTACCTTACCTTTTCAAATGGGACCCCTATTACCGAAGCTGCTAAATCGAGACATACGACAATTTGGCAGGTTTCACTGATGTTCATAACATTTGCACTAGTTTTCAGCTGCAATAGTCGATGTAATTCACGACCTTTCCTAAATATTGTTGAAAATAAAGCATCGATTCAATTTACTAGAAATCACAAAGAAAATTACAAACATTTCAATGGGCTACTTCTGTTGAAGGTTTAATAACAACGTGCAGAAATAATGGGGGTTCCAAGACTGGCTGTTTTATAGGTTATACGACTGTATGACAGGTCTAATTCTGTTTTCCTGACACTAAATCTCAAGTACTTTGTGAGAAGAAATCCAATTCCATGTCAATAAGTGCTTTAACACACATATTTAACGGTTGAGACTAGCTTTGAAAAGGTTAACATTTACAAATTAATACTGAATAACGAGTGTATAATTATAACTCCCCATAACATTCAAAAGCCATTACTTACTTTACAACGACTTCAGACTGCAAGCCTAATTTCGACCCTAACAACGTAAATAACCTCGTTTGTGTAGCCATTATTCGACCACTCGTAAAACAAATTGTCTCGTGTTCCCATTTACCCGCAAAATCTTGGAGTTCAGGTTCACCAACTTAGGCAACACATTTTCCTAACTGCTATTGGTTCTAAGGAAATGTTTTCCTGCTACAGGTCAGCAATGTTCACATGATATTCAACAAATGCATTTATGATAACTAGTGACGTCACCGAAATGTCATTACATCCTTCCATGATACCTAGCGATGTAAACCTATCTGCCCTCTTTCAACCACGGTTTACCTACACTTCATAATGTTTCGTATGATTCTTAGTGAAAAACCACGATCATTTCAGTGACGTTTCAAATGCAGTAAGTCTTCTGACCATAATGGTTTCAATTACACGTATAAGATTTTTTGTTATATTTTTACTTACATCTGTGTTCATCCAGTAACAACTTTCACAGAAACCGACACGTTTAAAACAATATATAGGAACAAAAATTTTAAACAAAAGATGAATGGGATCTCAAACAGCGGCTAAAGAGAGTGAATAAGATGTTACGGCTCTGTTTTAACTGCTACTTTCTCGAGATTGGAATATAAAATACGTGCTTAAAACATTAGGTTAAATGCAAAAGGTCAGAACAAATTTATTTCTTCTGAAGAAAACTTATCTTTTTACGTCACATCTACAATCAAATTTGGATCTAGCGTGACATAGAAAATAAAATAAAGCAAATGTAATGCCTCTTTTGATACTAAAGAACAGTGCAAATCAAATTACAAGTGTGCTGAGTGCTAGATGGGCCTGTTTAAATATCTCACTTCGTCCAGGGTACAGTCTAAATGGAAAGTCGACGATATTAAAACAAATTTTTATTTTTTAGCTGTTTTCTTTCCTTGGCGCTCACTATAATCCATTTTGGGGCTTGGTATCCTCTTTCACAGACATCAGTTCATGTCAAGTTATTACGATAAAATATATCAGTGTCGAATACCACTGTTGAATCAGTAATTCAACGTCCTCGAATGTGAACAAAAGCTAAGCGTTTTACTGCATACCAAGTAGGTTTTTAAATACTGTATAAACTACAGATGATAAACATCGCCGAAGAAATGTAAGATAACTACAAAATGTAGGAGAAGTATAATTAATACACTGTAACATTGTAATGCTGTAGGTTACATTTGTCCCGTACTCCATTCCAATATGTGATATCGTACAGAAGTGGTTTCTGTGGGTACTTCATAAACGGTTCTGTTGCTAGTACAGCGCAGTGCTTTGTTGAAGGCGGTCAGAAGGAAAGACGAATCACACAGCCCACAGTCTAACCCTAGGATGTGCCCAGTTTTGTCTCCTTTCGGTGAACGTGGCTAGGACAAAAAGCTGACGCACAACGGAAGCAAAAGACAAAGCACTCATATCGATTAACAATGCTGCAGTTCATCACAGGAAGGATTGCCAGCAGTTCTTCGTTGATCAATAAACTCGCGTGAAAGCCCAGTCTTGAATTCTTATGCAACGATCAACACGACCTGCGTATGAGTCTTAATCCTCATCAGCAAGGCCTGGTCCATCCTATGCGTACTGTCTCCATCAACGCCTTGATCATACAGGTACCAAGCACCTCTGAAACGTCGAGACTACACGGCGTAGTATCCCAGAAGACTTGTCATCTTAATACTCGCGGCCCTGGAAACCTGAAATGTCAATAAACAGCGATTATTTCCTTAAAAAAACATTAACGAATGAGCTGATCGTGTCTGTCCGTCCGTATTTCCAGTCGATTCAGCTCGAGAACCACTGGACGGATTTGGATGAAATTTGACGTGTCATTCAAAATCATATTTCTGTATATCCTACGTGAGGTGATAAGAAATTGACGGAAGATCCGGTGGCCAATGTGGGAACTATAGAACAAGGCGGATTTAATACCTCTAAATCCACGTTCCAAAGAACGCATGAGGATATTACATGCGTTCTGGTATGGAATACATTTTCCGAGCTTGAACTTCGTCGTATAAAAATTTTGAGTAAGAATTAATTTTTGCCAAATTCCGTAGAAAAAAGTGTCTAACTCAAAATAAACTGCAAAGTAGACTACGTTGTTCCACACTGGAGAGTCGATATAATATTACTTGGATCAGGTAACCCATCACATGAACTGACTGCGTTGTTTCTGTACAGACAATTAAACATCAAACAGTAGAAATACGTGGTTAGTAAATTGGAACAATTCTATTTCATGATATTGACGACACAAGGCTATTTAAATTATAAACCAACCGCCTTTCAACTGTCCCGATTTCTCTACAGGTATGATTTAGTTACATGTGTGTTATAAGCGCAACAGTGAACCACGGGCAGAGTTGCTAATTTCGTACAATGTAAATAATACTGACATATATTTATCATTGGCGTCTGAACCCATGCTCACTGCGGTCAGAATCTCAAATATAAGATGGTTTAAAATATTTTTCTCTGGTTAATTTTTCATCGGCGCTATCCCGGTATTTGACAGTGACAGAGTAGAACCAAGTAACATTTCAAGTAGGATATCCGGTATTTGAGCTGCGATTTGAACGTGGGACCTCCTAAACAGAAAGCAGAATTGCTAGAGATTCGGCCTCGACCCCCGATACTGTACGATGTAGTATCGTTCACATATGTTGCAGTACTGAAAGCACGTGCTACTGAATACCAAATGCCAAAGCTGATATCAGGACGACGAAATAATTAGAATGCATCAAAAGACGAGAACGCAGAAAATCTGAACTTAAATAAGAATGGACTTGGGGAAAAATATTTAAAAGTGGGTGTTGATGATTTTGTTGAATTCCGCTCAGCACGTAACAAATAAGAAACGTTTAAAGTTATGAATCTTAACAAAGCCCTGTTTTTTCTTATTCACACGTCTATTTTGTGAAGCCGTTCTTGAGAAAACTGTACAATTTTATGATAAGTAAGCCATTCTGGACCAAAATAAAATTTGCAGAGTTTAGCAAAACCTTTACAACTCAGAATTTAAATGAAATATCGATCATGAAATCCGTTCGTACGAATCAAGTTCTTAGATCACTCTTGATGGCAACGAGCTTCGCAGACTGGCCAACTCATTGTTACGCAGATTAAATACTGTTTCTCTCGGAATATACGAATGTTCCTAATAGATAATATTCAAATGAGTTTTCGATTTCGTTTACAACAATCGCCGGGATACTGACTGACGAAACAATACCAACATCGTAGTATTGCGAAACTGAGAGGTGGTAGTGATAATAACAATATTTAATAAACAGCCCTAAATATATGCGTGGTGACTTTTTTTTCCTATAATTCTGGTATATTAATAATTGCAATATAACAGCAGCAAAGGATTTATGTTTGTTTTTTATGTTAACTAATAAACCGTGTAAAATTTAGAATGGAGATTTTCCACAAAGACATGAAAGAATGTATATTAAGCAGTTTTATGTCGTCAGGTATGACAATCAATATTTGAACCAGCCAATGTCTATGCAATCCTACCGAACGTCGTGATCGAGTGGTTATCAGCCCAAGAGGTCATAGGTTGCAATCTCGACTTGCAGACCGGCTATCCGGACTGAGTTTTTCTTGGTTTCCCTCAGCCCCTCCAAGCATATGCCAGTTCATTATTAACTATCAACATTCATGAGGACCACACTGCCTCAACCTTCAGCTAAAATTCAGAAGACCAACATCGACAGCTTAATCTGACTGCCTACAGGAAACATTATAAATAAGTAGTGAAGGAGTGAGAATAAAAATATATCCACAAGTTTCAAGCAACACATGCTTAATGTAAGATTTGCTAGGATCCTTTTGTTTTGTTTTTCGGTGTGGAAAAAAGTTTCAACAAACCTAGGTTAGACGAAACTACAGCCAGAGAGGCATATGACGACAAAGTATTAATTTCGCTTTTAGGACAATATAATTTTAATGTTATTTATTTCATTAATATTAATTTATTATTATGCGTTTCCTTCGGCAGTAATTATGACGAGCGTTTTATAGGGTAATGAACGCAGTGTGTGTGTGTATGTACATGCGTGCGTGCGCGGGAGAGAGACAGAATATGTCAATAATTTTACAATCAAATCTCTTGAGGAAGGTCACTTCTGTTAAATTTCTTTTAAAGAAGCTTCTTTATGAACATGTACCATGAAGTTATGATAACAGTTGTTGATGACTGCTTCTTCAGCTTTGTTTTTGATAAGAAAATGATAAAATGAGGCTACTGTGTCTTTGTAATTTTATTGCATATAATTCCAAAATCCTTTGCCGAATGCAAGAATCAAATAACTTGAGTTTATGCATGTCCATCTACAGAAACGTTCAAAATACTCAAGACGAGGTAACTGAAGTTCGTCTTGGTAAAGTCAACACACACTAACCAACATTAGACTGGAGGGACAAAACAAATGTCTCAGCTAGGATATACAGTGCTTAGTAAGAGTTTCGAATCCAGAGAACAAAAGCTAACCATTCGACGACAAAGTTCGTTATCATAAACGTAACTCTGCATTTTCGCCTTAAATAGGCGTCCTTATGGATTCCTGAAAGTGTCCTGGACACAGTTAAGTGCAGGATGAGCTGTTCCATCGGAGATGATACTTGATAATCGTACTGTCATGCGCCATCAGCACTGACTACCGTTCAATAAGCACGCTGGTGTCAAGAACTGTCGTCATGGTTTGTTTTACTGGCAGTCATATTGCTTGCATTTCAATGAGTACATGGGGTGAACGAGCGCCCTACTTTCCAGCTGAATTGGTGGTGTGAGTCAGCCAAGAGCTTCGAATTGGGATAGAATAATTGTGTTTGATGGTACTCTGCAATGTCAGGGATAACAGGCAAAAGGATTTTCACAGTGGTAACTCATATGACTCGCATTGACGAGGTAACAGGTAGAAATCCCACATATTTGCCGGCTGTAATGACGCCCATTCCTTATCATTATACATTTCTTATCACTCAAATAACACAGCATAGAAAATGGCCAAAAAGACAGAGTGACCTGAATCATAGGACCAAGTTTAATGTCTTTACGTTTCATCTTGTGGCATACCGCGCTCTCTTCTGATGGCTAGCTGTTTTAGTGACTGTGAAAAGGAAATTTCACTGCGATGAACTATATAATAGGCCCTTAGTGCTCAAGGTACTACAAAGGGAACTGATTATCAGTTTTACGTCATAAAGCGAAGCAGTATAAAATAAATAATACGAAATACAGTGACCACGAATGAATTATAAATTAACTCTTTAGGTTATAAATTATCTAAACATTGTTTTTAATAAAAATTAAACTGCTTATATTCTGAAGCACCTATACAATGTTTTAGGAGACAATTTAAGTAATTATATACTGAGATAAATACCTAAGTTCACTGAATAAAGGACCAAGGAACCAGAGAAGTTTCGAATTCGTTAAATTAACACAAAAATATATGGGAGATATGCAACAGATAGAAGAAAGAAAGTGTGAACAAACATTTTAACGAAAATTATTCTTCTACCCAGTTTCCTTTGTCTTTGATGTAAGACACACGTACGTGTCTTGTTGTTAGAGAAAGTATAACACAGTTTTCAAAGGGGATTCTCATTTTCTGTGACGAAACTATTTCACAAGGGTTTTTACTGACGCTCGCTTTCTTTGTTTTAAAAATCCGTGCTAATTAGAGTGATGGCAGTCAATTGCAATGACGTAGTTTCAAGTTTTAATTGCAGGCCTGTATGACATACACACGCAGATGTTGTCTCAACTTGTAGAAAACAAGTCTTCGCTGACATACGCTATTGACGTATCCTCTTTTCATTTCCGAAAAGACGAGTAATAAATACGGCGCGCATTGGAGATGGTAACTGTTGAAATACAATTGTTTCGGGATTTGAAGCTTTCACAGGTACTGAATGCAATGAAGAATTTTCGGGCTATCACTCGCACCAACATGGAACGAGTATCCAGCATTTCGAAGATTGTTCTATCATCATCATAAATGTCACATTTATCCATTTTGATGGACACAAAGTCGGTCTCCGAAATGGTGGAAATCCATTTCATAATGACACGAAGGATCGCTCGAGATCATTTAATTACAATTATTTAGGACTCTCTTATTTAATGACTAAAGCATATTGCCCCCTAAAGAAATACGATTTGTAAATAAGTTACTTTTGCAAATTCGTCTCTCTTACTTCACTGCAGGAAGTAAATGTTTTCAAATGTAGGTTAATATTTCACAACTCTAATTACGCTCTAACCATGGATATTTGGAATTATAAGTATTAAAATGGCCGTCTTCTGGAATGTTGCGCCTTGTAGTGTGATATATTTACTTTTTAAATAAACTTTAGTGTTTATTTAGTATTAAAAGACAAGTTTTCAAGCACAATGAAATCTTAAAACAAAGTGGTAGGAAGCATTCTTGGTTTAATAGTAAGTATTCTGAAAATTTCCTTCAAGAACATAAGGAAATAAGAAAAATCTCAGTGGGAATTGAAGTTCCCGCGGTGATGAGCATAAAGAACGCTGGCTACTGGGATGAACTCGGGATGAAGATGGAGGCAGTAAGCTCCTTTGAAATGTCGGCCAATACCTACCAGAATATACGGTGCTACATCCCAGGAAGCAGCCATCGTTAGGAGAACCTAATTTTGGAAATCCGGTACTTACGCGCTGACAATCGAACCGATATACCCCGAATACAAGGAAACCGCATTACCTGCAATAAAGCATAATTTTTTATAATTCATTTCTAAAATATCTCCCAGTTCCCAGAACCAAATCACTGCAGGAATATTTGTTATGCGGTCCCCATTAGCCTCTGGCTTGACCTTTACTCTGCTACTGGACTAATCAAGAACATTTTGACGTCAAAGTTTAATGAGAGCTGCAGAAACGCAATTAAGTTTCTTCTTTATGTTGCAAGAGGACCAAGTTATACTGAACTCTTCAGAAGTTTGAATTTACTTTGCCAACAGACGTTACATATCATTTAAACTGGTTTCCTGGGTGTAAGTTATATTACAAAAGACCAAAAGTACAAAACATGTAAGACTATAAAATAAAGTGCCTTGAAGAAATATAAATACAAATTTTACAACTTTGATGTCTTAGATTAAAAAGACCAGCAGTTATAAAATATTATTTCAGCTTCTTTCGGTAATGTGAATTACAGATGGCATCCTTCTGGGTGTTACGCCATGCATATCAACGTTTCGGATGAATATATCGACTCCATCTTCAAGGTAAAGGTGGAAGCGATATGTTCCTCGAAACATCAGTACACAGCCACGGTGTAAGAGCTCAGATCAACATCCAACTTAATACAATGACTGTAAGAAGTTATTCAAGAAAGAAACGTGGTACATTCAAACAGTTTGTTTCAGATATTTACTTTTTACTTTAGAAAGAAAGGGCAAGAAAAGAGTTTAGGATACTGAAAATTTGAAGGGACTGCAAAGAATTACGGAAGAAACCAGAGACTGAGATGAAACTTATGAAACGGTGAAGAAAAAGAAGAAATATTGAGAAGTTTTAAGTACGGAAAGACGTGACAACAGATTTTTATTAGTTGTGTACTCAACAGATTATACAGGAAGACTATAAATATGCAGCAGGAGGAGGGTAATTAATTGTTTCAATCCCCCCCCCCCAATAATTCTGTGAGACAAACATTACTTCTCCGTAGTAAGGAAGGCATATATAATTTATTATAAATAAACAAAATATATATATTAACCTCAAATCCTGCATAGCTTATAACGTGAATGGTCATTTACGGGCTTATGTGAACACGGTAACAAACATTCAACTCTTTAGATTATTTTTTCAGGAACGACTTGCTCTGTGCAGACTAAAACACCCCTGACGACCTAGCAAATGTTCAAGCTCATTGTGTTTCGGGAGATGTGTCCAGAACTCTCTGAAGAACTAGCCTTGAGGTCTCTTTGTAATGCATAATCGACTATCCTCCACCAAGCTAAAACACAAGTTAAACTTTTCCGTTCTTAATCACGCATGCGCCTTACCTATGACCTTAATTTAGATTACGTGAACAGGTAAATTCCAATACACGTGTCCGGCCACCTGCTGGTGAAAAGTACAGAATGGCACGGCGATAAGATATTGTAATTGAAATATACTTTATCAGACCACAAGTGGAACACATCTAATTACCGTTTGTAATTCAGGGAAAGTTTAGAAGTGGGTTCTCTAAACAGGCCAACATTTTATCAGGGCATAAGTGGAACAAGTGCAGATAATCCTTGATTTATGCGACTGTGGTAAAATAGCGTCGAAAATCGAAAGTTGAAAAAGAAAATCTCTTTTCCCCTCGCATTTATTCTCTCCTATTCTTACAATACTTTGCTTCCCCAGCTAGCAATTCACATTAAGACGAGAGCTATTAACTTTAGTAGGTCTAAATCAGGTTTCTCTCTGAGTCCTTCGGTTTTACGCAACTGCTCCGCCATATTCACTCGTGTATCTTCTGAAGGTTTGACAACGGGCCCACTAGCAGCTATAGTGCCACACAGACTAACAACAACAATAAGAAACTTTAAAGAATATACTAAACAGCGACGTAAAGAACTAAAACATCAGACAGAGAAAGCGCTCCGGAAGGAGCGCGTTGCTCTAGTATACTAAATGTTTTGAAATTGATAATAAATTGCAGAGTCTGAGTGGCGAGTTTTAAACATCACGACTAGCTTCAGAGCTGAAAAGAGAAAAGAGAAGACCACACAAAAATTCTAGTACTGGTGCTTCTGTTATTTATCCAGCACGATTTTAATTATTCTGCGATTTTGCATGAAGTGAATTTGTGCCATTATGATGTGTAGAGAACATCCATGAATTTATCAGTGCTATGTCAATTTGCCACATTATACATTTATTCTGTGATATTGGTCCATGCAATATCAAGGACCTGATAATGGAAGCAGCAATCACCTCTGAAACGTCGACAAACTTCTACGAGATTATACGACGCAATATCCAAGAAAGTTACCATAAACATATACATCGCCGTAAGAACGTGGAATCTCACTTCCTTTCTTTCAATCGAGCTAATTTAACAGTAGCGTTATGTTTCTCTGTATTACGAATTTCAGACCAAAGGGGGACAACAAAAGCTGGATAAGACGAAGAAAACAATAAATTTATATTAAATTGCAATATGAAGTCTAAATAAAAATGCAAACCGCATTCTGGTAAGACATATTTTGTGAAAAAAGTTACTTCTACCTGACCAAGGCATCTTTGAATTTCATATCTTAAACCTCCTCCTGTTCATTAGGAAATTCTCCCCACTCCAATCACTTATTGTTATGTAAGCTGTAGAAATCTAACTTTCTCACAGGAATCAAGCAGGAGCATTTCAAACACAAATTTACTAGAAGGACAAGCACTTATGGATGACGATCAGGTGGGAAACAAAACGACATATTCTAGAATAAAGATGAGCTTGGTGTAGACACATCAACCATCCACAGAGATGTTCCTATCTTTGAGTTTAAATTATAATCCTCTGTCATGTCTCCCTCAGTTCGCTTACAACTTCTCTTCACTCCGCTTCGTTATTGTGTACCGTTCGTAGCTGCAGGATCCATATTGCCCATAGAATTGTGCCAAAAGCACCAACTCCATGGATTCAGGAACAGCGCATTGAGTGCGGACACTCTGATATCGATACGTCACAAACTTATGATTCTCTGAAAGCTTGTATCAACGGCAGATTAATCATTAATGACTGTCTACTAAGGTGTAATAAATAAGTTACACACTATATTTCAAAATTTTGTCGCACTGCTATGTGCACATCGACGTACTGTTGATTAGTATACACGTTTAGTGATCAAAAGATATCAGATTCGACCTCTCGACCACTGCCACGAATATCGAAAGTATATCGAATAACGACAGTGCAATAACAAGTAGTCTCTACAAGACAAGCAGAGTCGACTCTCGCAACGTCGTGGGCCCTACACGTGTTTCAGACAGTAAAAATGTCAGTCATAACTGCAGAGCAAAGTCGTGAACTTGGAATTTCTGAAGAAAGACAAACCAGTGACAAGAATATAATATCAACACATAAGACGCACTTGGCATGTAACAGATTTCTAATATTTTCACGCTGAATATTTCACTTTAGACTTTCATTTAAAAGGACAAAATTTTATTTGGCGATATTTGCATTTCACCAAAATATATAAGTAGGTTGTTTGAAAATCCGCACGTTTAATTATAACAACATAGTGAAATTAACGATATTACAAAACGTGAGATCCGCCAGATTTATGTACTGGATAAATATTTGCGACATTGATCTATTAAAAATTTGCATTACATATTTACGTTATTTCACTCTAAAACGAATTATAGCAACGTGGGCATAACGCGAAATATAAATCCTATTAATATTCAGTATAAAACATTGTAGCAAGAAATGCCAATTTTGTATGATGGCAGATTATATAGGTGCCCACACGAGTTTATCGAAATTGCTTTTTCACGGAAATTACCAAAATGGCATTGGCCTACTTTTATAACATATTTGTATTGTATACAATCAAAAGAACTTAAACCGTGGGAGGTTTTCTTGTATTAACCAGTGACGATCAAATGCTGTAGTATCGTCAGATTCTTTAATGCCACATATTATTCCACATTTTCCAAGCAATGACTGAGCAGGTAAGTTTCACAAAAGTCGGACATTAGTGAGACAGATTACAAAAGACTCTTTTGCATATCAGCCTTTAAAATTCGCTTTAATTTATTTCGTGATGTTTATCAGTGTGATGTTCCTTAGCTCTTTGTTTGACGTTCACAATTAAGCTCAACAGTTGATCACAGCAATAAGTCCTGTCAAATACTGATCGCATTAAGGACTTCCACATAAAAATCCAAGACTTGTCCAGCACTACTCCAGGACAAAAGTACATAATCATAACCTCTCCAGGACTTCTCCGGCACTACTCAAGGACTTATCCAGGATTTCTCCAGGAAGTATCCTTGAATTCTCCAGAACTTCTCCAGGACATCTCAACGACCACACGATGAACACTATAGAAGTTCTCCAGGACAACCTAACCCATCGTAAAACAACACCACATGACCCATACATGGCCTCAATTTGACACGAGTATGGTCAACCAGGTATTTACGGTTTGGCAGAAATGAGCGTGAAAAAATATGACCTTGAGAAATTTAAAGCCCCGTATCTGGCAAGTCCTGGGGGTCTCGGGTTCGATTCCCGGCGGTGCCCGAATTTATAACTTGTGTTGGGCAAGGCCGTGGTCTAGGCAACACGGATTTTTCCTCCGGGGCTTCCCCGGTTTCTCCGTGGCATCCCAACAATTACTCCATTCACACACAGAAGAAGGCAATGGCAAACCACTTCTGGATCATCTGCCAAGAACGTATATGAACAGGTCCCAGTCCGAGAAAAGGATGGAAGGATCCTGTTCATATGGACCTGTCGTCAGACAGAACACTAAATAAAATAATAAATAAATCTGGCAAGCTAAATATAACCCTTTTTTCTGTGGGGTGTAACTCTACCAAGAAAATTATCAAATTTAGTACAAGAAACAAAACACTCGCATCTTTTTTCCCGCTGATGACATGATGACATGACAAGGCACTAAAGCAGTTGAGCCCTTGATCGCAGGGTACACAGATGGTATTTATTAACTATGAGACAACTGATGAAGCAACGCATGACGCATAACAGCAACATCTTTGTTTACTTCTGCTTTCATTTTAATCTCCATTATTTCAACGATTCAACAGGCTTCTATCTTTTGTTTAACAATCGATTGTCACCATAACAACGTTTAGTACTTATCAACCACGACAATCGGGATTGCTTGCTCGGTGGTGAGTGTTTTATACGTTGCAATTCAAATATTGACATGGCGTAGCGAGCATGGAGTTATACCTGTTAGAGAAGGGTCTATGTCTGTAACTTTAAAAATACTTGGAAATTGGAGGTGTACGTGACACTTCTTATAAGCCTCTTCAATATATAATATACAATAATAAAACGATTTTCACTAATATTTATTTTTGAGCTGGTCCCTATCGTACTTAAAATCAGCAAATGGTCAGAAGTTTATTCCCGGTTACCCTAAAAACCTCTAACGGTATACAAGATCACATGAGCTAATCATACAATATATATAAAACATTTACCTGTGACATTCAGGCGTATCCTGTTAAAGAGTAGCTGTGATTTAATAAAAGAAGGAAAAGCTCTATGGTTCCATCCATGTCTGTCTAGTTAAACTTACAGGGGTACGAAACATGAATGGCAGGAGGTCAGTTTTGGAACAAAGTGTTCCGCAACAGTGATCCTGCATCACAGTACAAGAATGATCTAAAGCGCAACAGTGCCTTTAGGGTGATGATGGTAATTATAATGTTTATCGAAAAGTTGGATAATTTACAAAATTTTACGCGGCTCAACCCGGAAAGTCTGAGTTGCACAGGTATGTTTGAAAAGTTTCCATCAATCAAATACAGGGAAGAAGAGCTGCACGGGCTGAAGATGGAGGCAGTATAATCCTCCGAAACGTTGATATCTACTTGCAAGTCCGCTCGGCTTTACATCCCAGAAGACCAACATCGACAACTTCACCCCAGATGTTAGTTACGAGGGTTACTTCAAAAGTCATGGCAACTAATTTTTTGGGGGCGAACACGTAATATTGAAGAAAGTTTAAAATATGCATATTAAAGGGCACGATTTACTCCTCCGATTGGCATAGTCAGATCAGGTAGGTGTGGATGGGTGTAGGTATAGTAGGCATGAAAAAAGGAACATTACGGAATGACCGTCGAGAATGAACGTCAACCGGTTGGAACAGCGTTCTTACTTGAAAATAGCAGTAATTATGGTACAGAATATTCGTCGGGTAACTGGTAATTCATAATGTAGTAAAATATTCCCTTTCATGGAGACCAAGGCATATATCTGAAATTACATCACCAGACAGATCAATTCAGTCGTTTTATTTTATAGTACTAGAGCAGAGCTCTCCTTTCGGAGCTCCTCGGGGGGTTGGTTGCGTTTTAAAATCTTGAGTAAGAAACTAAACCCCAAGTCATTTGTTTACTCGGCATTGTTGTACCAACACAACAATGCCGAGTAAACAAATATAACGTAACATTGTTTGATGACGTCATTTTTTGACGACAACGGGGAATCAGAAATTTTTATAGTATAAAAAAAAATCCTCCGACATATGCGTAGCTCTTCAAAATGGCCTGTTTCCTCATAGAAGCTTTGTCTACATTAATTAAACCGAAGTTACTAATTTGCCTGATACAGCAATTACCATCCAGATTCTCTATTACGACCCCCCCCTTCCCCCCGCCATTCGAGCATTGCACTTCGATAAGTGAAGATGTATGCATGCCACTTCACACGAAGCGCATGCTCAGCGGGAAGTCTATGTGGTGGCTGGCAGGGGAAGCGCGGTTGTAACTTTACTATTGCACTTGGAGAGGCATGGGCCTGGTCTGAGTTCCTCCCCCAGTAGTTGGTTGGCAACGGCACAGCGCACTACGGTTCCACCGTCGTGTCGCTTCGCGTCGCGTGCGTTACGTCAGCGCGGACATTGTTGTTGTCGTCATCGCCGTCGTAAACATTGTTAATCCTGTCACTGTTGATCAGTGACATATTTCCCGCGAGTATTTTCAGTTGCTTTATTTTACGGAAAAAAAATCATAGCGTGTTTAGACTAGAATTAACGAATAAAATATTACGTTTTGTATTAACAGTAGGCCTGATTCTGTATTTATTATTAATACGCAACAGTCGTATAAATTTAAATTTCGGTTGTTCATGACTTTTCTCTCGTCCTATCAAACGGGATAAAATATTGTTTCAGTGAACATCATCAGAACACAAACAGCATTTCCATGGCTTCTGAATTTCACATTTAAATTTAAAGTTCATTAAATGTTGCTCAATCATGTTATAACTATTCATAGTGCTGTTAAAAAATGCTGGAACTGGACATCGCGAAGTAGACACAAAATGCAGTTTCATTAAGAGGTGCGTGGTACAGTATAATTCAAGTTACAATAAGCATAATAAGGAACAACATCTCCAACTTGTAAGCCTATAACTCATTGGTCTAAACATTTTAAAGGTGTTTTACATTGTAAATATCTTGTAATGAATAAAACAAACAAAATTTAGGTTCAGTATAAATTCGCCTGTGGCAATGTAAGACGTGCATGTCCACAAATGACGACCGATCATAGTGTCTACTCCACAGAATATTTATTCTAATTACCTGTCGTTTAACAAAACTATCACTTCAGTCATAAGTTTACGTGTAAATTGCGTAGACAATTTTTTTTATAAATTTCTAGAAAAATCAATTAACATAATTTGTGAGAACTTTCTGAAAATGTTTTTCGTTTTCTTAACTTTTAGGATTTGTCTCTTTACCCTGGCTCCAGCGAAATGAGGACAAAAAATAAATGCTGGAAATTCCTGCTATTATTCTGGCAAAAACTGCATTTCTTCTACTTGTATATTTACAAACATTATTTTACCATTAAATATAATGCCTGTCGAACGTCGTGTCGTACCTTGAAAAGAAACAAAATGAATTAAAATAGAAAAATTATATATGTACAATGGCTTTTTTATGGAGAAACGTCTTGAAAATCAATCACATGGAAAAATAATATTAAAATGTATCTTAGGTTTTGGGTAAGTAAATTGAAATGACGGACTTCAAGTGCTGTATAATAGCGACATTACGTGATGGTAATATTCTGTTACGATGGGACTGGCTTTGCTGAGTGAGCACAAGGTGTAGAAGTCAATACTGACCGAAGGTGAACAGCAGACAAACGCGACTGCTCCGGATTGCTAGCAGGTTTTAAGTCTCTTCGTGATCAATAACATTCTTCCTCTTTCGCAGATATGTAAGGCACGTGGTCGTTCCTGCAGCGCTAACCTCAACGGAATCTATCTAGCTATGCGCTCTAAACGTTTAGTTGGGCTAAATTTTTGTATTTATCTTGAATACCTTTTGGAAACTCGCTTCAAATCGAAGCTTAACTGCTAAGCTAATCGCTTAATTCTGAATACATTCAAACTTACAGTACGTAATTAACTATTTTACATTATACAATCTTAAACTTTATACACTAGAATTACGTCACGGACGATCCAGGTAATAAATAATGATTTGTATTATAAAACAATGCTACAATGTAAATCTTTCAGCATAACTGTTTTCTAAAATACGATATATATCAAGCAGAAATACAATTTTCCTCCACCACAAAAGTTAAATTCCAATGTCCGTAAGAAATGCTGTCCATACCAGCGGTTTGGTCCTCGGCAGAAATTATTCGCAGACTGATTTCTTACAAAATTTTGATTCTGAAGTAAGTCTAGGCCTAACCTTGTTATTACTTTTATGAAGCACGTTACTCAGGGCAGGAACAAAGCAGAGATGAAAGTTACTACGTCGCAGTAACAGGATTCAGTTTGTTTATAACCACCAAAAAATTATACTCGTACATGACTGAAAAACGAAATATTCATTATAATAACCGATGTGGTGAAGACACAAAAAGCAACAGGTGATTATAGTGAAATATTGCCTATGCACTAAGTAACTGCAATGGCAGTACAATAACAAGAAGCTGTAGGAAGAATGTACAGCGTCCGCTTTATTTGACATGTTTTATCCAGCAGAAACTATCAATACGTATACATTTAAAAATCCATTTCCGTGAAAAACTTCATCCAGTACACCTTCCGGAGAAGTTAAATTTTCGGGATAAAATACCAAAGATTTGCACAGACACCTTGTTCGTAATTTTTAACACAGGATAAACATGTTTCAAACATGAAGATTTCTGTCTTCTGGGTGGTTGCGCTGCGTAGTCTGGTCGATGT